CTACCACTTGAGCTACAGCACCACTTCCGGTTTTCTGGTGGTTTATTGGAGATAGGAGTCTCACGGTCTCTCCTGCCCGGGCTGGGTTTGAACCGCGATCCTCAGATCTCAGCCTCCTGCGTAGCTAGGATTACAGGCGTGAGCCACCAGCGCCCGGCTTCCATGAAATTCTTATGTCCAATTAACTACCAAAAAGTTGAAAATGGAGCTGTGGCTCAAGTGGTAGAGCACTAGCATTAACCAAAAAAGCTCAGGGAGAAGTCCCAGGCACTGAGGTCAAACCTGAGGACTGGCATAAAAACAACAACAAACCTCAAATCTAACAAAGCAGCATGAGTACAAAGAAAGTTTGAAGAATTAAGGAAACAAGATAAATTGTCACGCTTACATAATAAATTAGAAACTATGGGGAAATGGCTGGGATCTGAATCTGTAATTCTACAGCTACTCCTGAAAGTGCCCTCCTAAGGCTGATAACATCGAGACTGCCTGGGAGCATGTTAAAAATGCAGTTGTGGGCTCCACCACAGCCCACTGGGATGCATCAGCTCATGGCAATGTGCACTAGAGTCTGAGACTGCTGCATGTTCTATTCTTTCTCAGGCTAAAAAGTATGGGAATGGTGCCAGGCATTGGTGGCTCATACCTGCAATCTTAGCTTCTCATGAAGCTGAGCTCTGAGGATCATGGTTCAAAACCAGCCTGAGCAGGAAAGTTCCATGAGACTCTTACCTCCAAGAAACCACCAAAAAGCTGGAGGTGGAAGTCTAGCTCAAGTAGTAAAGTACTAGCCTTGAGTGAAAAAAGGTAACCAAGAGCACAAGACCCTGAGATCAAGCCCCAGTACTGGCACCAAAAATAATGATAATAATAATAATTTTTCTCTAAAATAGCAAAATGGGTCAAACACTGGTGGCTCACACCTGTAATCCTAGCTACTCAGGAGACTAAGATCTGAGGATCACAGTTCAAAGCCAGCCCAAGCAGGAAAGTCCTTGAGACTCTCATCTCCAATTAACCACCAGAAAACCACAAGTGGCACTGAGTCAAAGTGGTAGAGCACTAGCCTTGAGTGAGAAAGCTCAGGGACAGTACCCAGGCTCTGAGTTCAAGCCCCTTGACCACCACCACCAACAAAAAAAGGTAAAATGGTCCAGCCCCAAATTCTGGAGCTGGACATCCTTCTCCCATTTGAGAAGACTCAAATGGACATTTCTTTGTAATGATAGAAATAGAATCAAACTGCCCATCAGAATCCATTCCTTCCTTCCTTCCAGCATTTATTAAACATTAAGCTAAGAAGCTGATGGTCACCAAGTTTGTACAACTTTATCGCGGACTAGCTGTCCTTGAGGCTCCGTTGCATCTGGAGGCAGGAGGGCCAAGTAGACAGGGGTCTCGGCCCCCTCCTCCACAGTCCTGGAGCCCTGGTCCCCAGCCATGTCTGTCTTCACCCAGCCAGGACAGCAGGCATTTAGCAGGATCCTGTCAGCCTTTCTCTTCTCATCCAGCCTCCGGGCCAGGATTCTTGACAAGACAGTGACTCCCAACTTGGACACCCCATAAGCTGAGTTGGGCCAGCCTTCTCTTTCATGCATCTCATTTTTTGTGTCTTCCACAAACTTTTTCATGAGGTCCACCAGGTCCTGCTCTGTGAGTGTGTCGCATCGGAATTTTTCCTGGAGATCTTCGCTGCAGTCTTCAAGAGCTTTGGACCCCTGGAAACTGCTGATATTTACCACTCTCCCTGTGACAGGAAGCAAACAATGGAAGTCCATCACAAAGAAGCACTTGCTGCCAAGCCATGGTGTAGTTAGACACTGATAAAATTACGAAGCGAGTCTAGAAGGCATAAAAGCCACACACCAGTGTGTTGGGAATACAATGCTGAAAGGTTGGGAAGAGCCCCTGTTGTTAGCTTTCATAGCAAAGCCAAACAAGGATATAAATGGGATCCCAGAGCTTCCAGGGCTCCCAGGCAGCCCTTGAGTTAAAAATATAGCTACAAACATACCACACTCACACAGATGCAGGCAATGACCAGACTCCTGAAAACATGCCTTACCTGTGTGGCCAAAGCTGACAC